CATCCAGGCAGTGTAGAAGCTCCAAGGGAACAGTTAAGGAGCACAAATCCTGTGTCTTGGTTGTGTCACCTGCTCAGGGAAAACTGCTGAGAGAAGCAGGAAGTGTATCAGACAAATAGGATACATTATGGGGTTTAATTAGAAATGTCTCCCTGTCCCAGCTGGAGTGCTTTGGACCCGAGAACTGGCTATTCTGAGAAAGAGGTGGTGATTGCTCAGAATTTAATCTAAAATCACACCACATCCCTGAGCCACTTGCACTTCCCTGTGCCTTACCTGTGTCCAGCGCTGCTCTCCAGCACAAGAACTGGTGAGAGACACGTGTGCTTCACACACACTGCAGTGTCCAGGGTTCTGTCTCATTCTCATCTATCATTTACTAACACCTTTGTGGCATAAATACGTTCCATTTTTTTATTCCTCTTTGTTCACCTATTCCTGTCATCCTTCCAATATCACCAAATTCCTTGCGTATGTTTTCGCTCTGCAATCACTGTCCCGCCCTTTTATGATGCTTCCTTTGCATCTGACGTGTTTTCCACTTAGCATTTCTGCTGTTTTTAATTAATTATGCTACAAATCACAATGCTTGGGAGGTGGGGCACCACGTCCCTTCTCACCTGGCAGCTGTCGGTGCCTCCGGCCCAGACTCCGGCACAGAGCGCTTTGTTGTTCATGAGCCCCGCGTACCCTTCGGAGCTGTTGCACAGGCTGGAAGGGAGGATTTCCACTTGGGCTTCTTTCAGCACAGATGAGCTTTTACCTTGAATGGAGAAAGAATTTAGAAAGGTGAAATGTGCTGGGGTGTGTAGCAATTTTATAGTGGTTTTTTTCCCCCCGTTTCACCGGCCTGGGTGTGTTCCTGGATGTGTTCAGACATGGATATGACACAGACCCTGCCTGTTCCAGACTGATTGGAAGTGGAGTGGGTTAAAGGTTTGAAGACTTGGGTTTGATGCAGATTTTGCAGTTCTTCCTCAGAAGAAGCATCAATGATAATACACCTGCCTTGCTCAAAATGTCAGAGGTGACTTATCAAACAGGCTCACACAATCCCAGCTGACCCCAAAACTCCCACAGATGACACCAACTGGCACTGAATTTGTGCCCAGTGGGAGTAAGGAGAGAATTAGAGGGGGTGTAGTCATTCATAAATCCCCTGGGAACCCCTCAGCTCACAACATGTGGCATCAGAATTGTTGCTTTTAAATAAAATAGCTGTTTGCAGCAGCCCACGTTGACCTGCACCACAAGTCTGAAATCAGCTGAGTTTATTTTCCTTTTTTTTTCATGTTATACTTTGAAGAAAGGCTGGGAAATGTATTCCTGTGGTTACATCTGTGTGGGTCTAACCTGCTTGTGACAGAAAACCCTTGAGAGCAGATCTTCACTGCAGAGTTAAGTGATGTTGTATGAGGAGAACATAACCTGAGCAAATCCAGTTAGAATCACAGAATGGTTTGGGTTGGGAGGAACCTTAAAGATCCCACGGGCAGGGTCACCTTCCACTACCCCAGGTTATTCCAAGCCCTGTCCAACCTGACCCTGGGCACTTTTAGGGATGAGGCAGCCACGGCTTCACTGGGCAATCTGTACCAGGGCCTCACCACCCTCACAGGCAGGAATTTCTTCCCAATATCTAATCTCAACTTATCCTCTTTCAGTTTGGTGCCATTCCCCTTTGAAAGGTCAGGAAAAGCCTCCGAGATCCAAGCGCAAAGTGAGTTTATAAACTGGGGGAGCCGGAGTGGGGGGTACCCCGTGGTGTGAGGGTGAGGATGTGGCCAGAGCCCCTTACCCTTCTCGGCCGTGCGTCCCCAGCCGCTGATGTAGCAGTCAGAGCTGTTCTCCAGGGGCTGCACCAGGGGAGCTGGGGGCAGGCACACGGGCTGGATGTACAGGCTGTAGCGCACCGCCGTCTTCAGCTCAAACACCGCCACGTCGTTCTCAAAGGTTTCCCTCCTGAACTCCGAGTGCACAATGATCCTCCTGATCCTCCTCCTCCTCGTGTACGGGCCGTGCTTCTGAAGGTTGTGCACGCCCAGGACGGCTCGCCAGGAACATGGATCCCTACGAGAGAATTCACGGGGGTTTTACATTGCTTTAACGGTTTGTTCTCATGGGATCATGGAATCCAGCAATGGGTTTGGAGGCACCTTAAAGCTTATCTCATCCCACCCCAGATTTTACAGTTCACTTTCCCCCAGGTCATGGTTGAGTCAACACAGGCGATGTGACTGATGCAGATTGTGCAACTGTGGTAAAGGCTGGAAAAGAGACCGGTGCTGGCAGCTGAAATGCTCCAGAGTTGCTGTAAGTGCAATTAAAAGTCTGTTCTGAGGAGTTATTACCACAAAAAAAAAAAATTAAGTGCCAAATTGTTGGTTCTGATCAACAAGAAAAAAGGAAATAGTGTTAAAACTAATGAATTGGAGTGTTTGTAATCTAAATACCACAACATTTTGTGGTTTTAGTGGTTCAGAAAATTCTTTTTAACCAGAAAAATCCTAGCTCTGTGGAAGAAAGCAACAAACTATTGGAAAATGGGGAAAATGGGCTGGGGAAGGGAGCGGAAAACCTGGCATGGGAGAGGATCCTCCTGCTCCAGCTGCTGTTCCACAGGGAGCAGCTCCTTCCCCAGCCATGATCCCAGCACTAGGCTGGAGTGAATAGTCCAGAGCTGGAAAAGCCCAGAGTCGGGGCTTGGATGAAGATCTCATCTGATCTCATTTTGTAATTCTATAAATCAAAACCAAACAGCCCTTTATTAGAAACAACACAGGTAATTCTGGCCCAGGCCAGAAGGGCACAGCCAAGATTTCTGGATGTTGACTTACAATTCTTGACTGATTATTCCTGATGTTGGCTGCCCAGGGAGTCGGTGGAGTCCCCATCCCTTGAGGTGTCCAAGGAACAACTGGAGGTGGCACTCAGTGCTCTGGTCTGGTGACCAGGTGTGGATCAGGCAGAGGTTGGACTTGATGCTTTTGGTGATCTTTTCCATCAGACCTGTACTCCAGCCCCTTCCCCAGCTCTGTTCTGGCTCTGGATATGCTGCAGCCCCTCAATGTCTTCCTCATCATGAGGTTCCAGCACCAGAGGGGCTTTTGACAACCCCTGATCTGCTCAGGTTCCCTTGGCCTCCTTCCCCCCCACCCAGGGAGCTGAGCCGTGGTGCCCAGGTGTACCGGTCAGTACTGGTCAGTACGTACGTCCTGCCGTCCACGCAGTGCCCGGCGGTCAGCACAGCTCTGCGGCTCAGCAGCACACCTCCACACAGGTGTATGAAGCGGACACCGCCCCGCAGCACCTGCAGGCTCACCACCCACGGCCACGCGCCCTCCGGGGCCTCGTGGCCCCCCACGATCCAGGACGCCACGGTCCGGGCCAGCGGCAGCTCCTGCTGACACTCTGCAAAACACCGTTCGCTCCTTAAAGCACCTGGAGGGCAAAACTCCGCTTTTGGGTTTAATGGTTGGACTTTTCTTGCTGTTGGCTCGGGGGTTTTGTTTGGGTGTTTGGGGGTTTTGGTGGGTCTTTTTTTGTTGCTGCTGGTGGTGGTTTTTTTGGGTTATTTTTTGGTTTTTAATTTGGTTTGGTTTTGGGTTTTTAAATCTCCAGCATCACCACAGCACAGGAAGAACATGGACCTGTAACTGTGGCCTTCCAGTGCCTGGAGGAGCTGCAGGAAAGATGGAGAGGGATCATTTAAATGGACCTGGAGTGCCAGGACAAGGGACAGTGTCTTTAAACTGCCAGAGGGCAGGGTTAGAGGGGATATTTGGAAGGAATTGTTCTCTGTGAATGTGGTGAGGCCCTGGCAGAGGTGCCCAGAGCAGCTGTGGCTGCCCCTGGATCCCTGGCAGTGCCCAGGGCCAGGCTGGAGGGGCTGGGAGCAGCCTGGGATGGTGAAAGGTGTCCCTGGATGGGCTTTAAGGTCCCTCCCTTCCAGCCAAAACCATTCCAGGGCTCTCTGTACTGCAGGACTCGCTGTCTCACAAGATCCCAGCGTCTGGGAATCCCGATTTTCCCAGCCGATGTGAAACACGGCGTATTTATCCGACTAAGGGGTATTGTGTTATACATTAGCGGTTAAGCGCGCTCTACGAATTCACCAGATTTCTGTATAAACGAGGTTTTTCCTCCCCACCTCAGGCTCTTCCCCGCTCGCAGCCCCTTTCCCCGACCCCTCCGCCCCGGCCCGGCCCCGCCGGGTCCCGGTACCGTCCACGGGCTCCTTGGGGGCCGCCGCCCCGGGCAGGGCTCCCGCGAGCAGCAACAGCAGCAGCGGCAGCGCGGGCCGCGCCCGCTGCATCGCCGGGAGGGCCGAAGATGGCTGCGGGGCCTGAGGGGAGCCCCGGCGGGGAACGGCCGGAGCCGGCACCGGGCCGTTGGGGCGGCGGGGACGGCGCGGGAGCGCGGCCGGAGGAGCCGGTGAGGGGCGGGAGGGGCCGGCCTGCCCTCAGCGAACGCCGGCAGGGAGCCCTCACCCGGGCAGAGGGGCAGGGATCTGCCCTCACCCAGGCAGAGGGGCAGGGATCTGCCCTCACCCGGGCAGAGGGGCAGGGATCTGCCCTCACCCGGGCAGAGGGGCAGGGATCTACCCTCACCCAGGCAGAGGGGCAGGGATCTGCCCTCACCCGGGCAGAGGGGCAGGGGGTTTATCTTCACCCGGGCCGAGGGGCAGGGGGTTTATCCTCACCCGGGCAGAGGGGCAGGGAGCTCACCCTCACCCGGGCAGAGGGTTCAGGCCCTCACCTCTGCAAAGAGTGAAGGTTTTCAGCCCTGAGCCATGGGTCAGGGGTCTCACCCTCACCTAAGCAGAGGTTCAGGGGTCCCACCCTCACCTGGGCCAAGGGTCAAGTTTGGGGGTTCAGGTCCCACCAGGTGGAACAGAGTGAGGGAGTGTGGGGAGGGGGCAGCAGGTTCGATGGAGCCCCAGCAAGATGCACCTGAAGGATCCCGTCCCAAGGTTAACCAGGCACACACAGCGGTCCCCTTCCATTAATACATTTATTTTCTGCTTCCCAGGCTGGTTTCTGTTGTCCTGGGATCTTCCCTGGATGCACTGGGCTCTAGCAAGGCAGGCTCAGCAGCACCACGGCTTCAGGAAGGAGACAGCCTCAAGTTATATCAGCAGAGGTTTACTTAGATAGGAGGAAAGATTTCTTCACAGAAAGGGCTGTCAGGCCCTGGCACAAGCTGGCCAGGGCAGTGGTGGAGGCACCATCCCTGGAAGTGCTCAAAAAACATGTGGATGTGGCACCTGGATACCTGGTTTAGTGGTGAACATGGTGCTAGTGCTGAGTTAACTGCTGGACTCCGATCCAAAAGGGCTTTTCCGACTTTGTTGATTCTGTGATTCAGAGACACTAAGAAAATTGACCCTCTCTTCTGACCTGACAATTTGATTTCTGATTTAAGTCCTTCACTGTGTTACTGATACAGGCACGTGTGGAGGAGCCTGTGCCTGGCAGGGTGTGTTGGTCACGATGAGGAATTTTTGGGGGGCAGGACAGGGGTTACTTCACCCCGTACCCCACGATGTGCGGCTCGATGGGCATCCAGGGCATCGCCAAGCCGATGTGCTGTATCTTCAGCTCCGAGAACTTTGCCTCTTCCAGATTCTTCCACGGCTCTCTCGTGAGGCAGCATCCAGCAAAGACGAGTTTCCAAGTCGGGTAACAGACCTGCTGCCAAAAATACCTCCAGCTGGAATGCTCAGCGGCCACGTGCTCCAAGAAATAGAAAGCTCCTCCCTGGGAACACAGAGTCTTCTTACAGTGTGGGGGTCATGCCAAGTGGCTCCCACCACCCCCTCCCTCCCCTTTCCCCTTCCCTCTGTTAGTTGGGATTAATGAAAGAAGGAAACGTCCAGAGATTCAAAATGCCCATTCAGAAAGCACAAAGGACCGGCTTATTTAATCCCTCTTTTATTCCAGCAATAGTTTGTTGTGGTTTTGTTTCAATTAGTTGCTAACATGGCTGTTTTTCCCAAAGGAAACTAAGATAAATGTATAAATCCTGCTCTAACCCATCGGTTTTTTCACAGAGAGCAGGGTTAGGTGAAATATTGGGAAGAAATTCCTCTCTGTGAGGGTGGGCAGGCTCTAGCACAGGGTGCCCAGAGAAGATGTGGGTGCCCCTGGATCCCTGGAAGTGTCCAAGGCCAGGCTGGATGGGGCTTGGAGCAAGCTGGGATAGTGGGAAGTGTCCCTGTCCATGGCAGGGAATGAAATTATCTTTAAGGTCCCTGTCAACCCAAACCCTTCCATGGTTCTATGAAAATGCCACTCTTAAAGGCTGAAAGTCTGTTTTAAAAATACCCCCAACAAACCAGCTGGTTTTAACCTGCAGCTCATTAGTAACTCCAAGGAAATAAGGTGTTTAATTAGACTGGTCTGGTCCTATAGGCAGAGCAGTTCATTTAAAACAAGGCTTTAAGTCTTGCTCAGAGCTTCCCACCCCAGCAAAAACAGCTGAGTGGGGAGGGACAAACACCACATTCTGCTTTAAATGATGGGCTGAGATTGCTGCTAACTTTGTAGGCAGTTTTAGTCAGCAGAATGTTGCTCTTAGGATTCTAACTCTAGACCTATCTGTCCAGTACCCCTTGCAGCACTCAGCCATACAGAGCATTGTAGGAACCAACCTGGGTCTGGGTTTAAAGCTCAAACCAACTCTTTTTCACTAGGTTTTGTTTTGTTCTGGGTTTTAAGCTCAAACTAACTCTTTCTCACTTGTTTTTTGGTCTGTGTTTTAAGCTCAAACTAACTCTCACTTGTTTTTTGGTCTGGGTTTTAAGTTCAAGCTAACTCTTTCTCACTTACTTTTCTTTTTTGGTCTGGGTTTTAAGTTCAAACCAACTCTTTTTCATTAGGTTTTTTTTTTGTTCTGGGTTTTAATCTCAAACCAACTCTTTCTCACTTATCTCACTTATTTTTCTTTTTTGGTCTTGGTTTTCAGCTCAAACCAAGTTTTTTCACTTAGTTTTTTTTTTTTTTTTAATATGTTTATTTTTCCCCTTGTGGCGTGGTACCTCTGGAGCAGATGTTAAAGGTAACAAGGGAGGTTTTTCTGCAGGTACTCACCGGCCGGAGCACCCGGAGCACTTCGCTCAGGGTTGTGCTGACGCTGTGCACGGAGCACAGCACCAGCGTGCAAACCACGGCATCCACGGAGCCGCTGGCCACCTGGCCCAGGTCTTCTCCTGCGGCCACCAGGAACCGCTCGTAGCGGAGGTGCTGGTTCTTCTTCATGTTTTTGGAGAGGCTCTCCTGGAAGTGGGGGTTGATGTCGGTGCAGGTGACTCTGCAGCCCGGTGGGTAGAACTGGAAGTTGGAGCCGCCGCCGGTGCCGATCTCCAGCAGCCTCAGCTCGCCGGAGGGGCCCCTGAAGTCGGGTAGATTACGGAATAGCTCCTGCTTGTGCTTCTTGGATTTCTTGTCGTGAGCCACACAAATCTTCTCTAAGATGAAGGGGAAGAAGACCTTCCTGCAGAAAGGCTCCCACAAGCCCAGGAAGGACAGCAGGTAGATGGGTGAGGCCAGCAGAGCCAGGCAAGCCCGGAGCAGCAGGACGCTCGCTCCAGCCTCTGGCATTTTCAGCGTGGGCAGAGCAGAACTGCTTCTCCTGTGTGTGTGTTAGAGCTCCTGGAGCTCAGTCAGAGCCGCGTTCGGGTGCTGGCCGAGTCCTCTCAGAGCACATTCAGCCGCTTGGGCTGCTCTGGTGGTCGCTTTTCCCCGGCTGATTTCTCAGTCCGGGCACGGGTGAGGACTGAAGAGTGCAGGTGCAGCCAAGCAGTGACCAGAGTCCAGGGGAGGAGCTGCCAGTTTGTTCCCAAGCCAGCACGAGCTGGGCAGCGCAACCTTGTGTGTAACCCCAGGCAAAGTTCTCCAAATGCCCTCGTTCCATTCTGGTCACGTCTCTTAAAGCAGCCTGTGCTGCCCTGGGAAGCCCAGCCGAGCTCTGGAGCTCTGCAGGAATTTGGTTGGGGGTTTGGTTAATGTTTCAGGATGGAATGGAGTCGATTTTCCAGCTGCTGGGTTTGCTCAGCAGCTCCGTGCAGTTTTAAACCTCTGCAGTTCGAGGACACCTTAAATCCCTTGGTGGGCGAGAACGGGCTGCCAGTGATCTTCCAGACTGACTGGAATCATGGACAGAGATAAAACAACTTATTAACTCACGAGTTCTGCATGCAGCACGTGGAGTTTGGGTTTTTACTTGTGTCGAATCAACACTGAGCACTCCACAAACATCTTCTGGAAGACTTTATCAGCTTTGCACTCGACAGAGTTTTCCAACAGCGTGGATCAGCCATGAACAGGTGGCAGGAGGATCCAAGGTCCCTCAAAACCTTGGAACAGTTCTGCTGGGGGGTGCCTTGCAGTTTTGCTTTCCTGGGAAAGCCACCGGTGTGTCTCCTCCTCCCTCTGGTGGCAATAAAGCAAATTAAACCCAGGAGTAATTAGGCGCTTCGTTAATGACCTCTGTTGTATCATTGTGCCTCCAGCTTGTGCCAGCTACAGATTGAACAGAATCACAGAATCGTTTAGGTTGGGAAAGACCTCCAAGATCGAGTCCAACCTTTAATTACTCGGTGTTGCACAAAATAGAGGCAGTAATGGATTATTCTATTATCACCTGGTTGTATATCTGGTTTTAATTCCTGGCTGCTGTGCTGCAGGGAGTCGTGGAAATGGTTAAATCGGCCAAGGAAAGAGCACCCACTCCTGGAACTTTCCTCAAGATCGTTCCTAGTGAAACCCCTGTGTTTAAAAGGTGTGACTGAGGTTGGAGGGAGAGTAGAAAAATTTGAAAAAATGCAGTTTAAACACAGGTGTAACATGTTAGTAGAGATCAGTGCACAGAAGGGGAAGGAGATGTGAGGATTTTTGGGATGAAAGAAGGAAAAAGCAGGATCCTTATGAAGCAATTTTAATTGGATTTTATTCTTGAGCAGCTCTGTGCTCCTTACAGGGCCAGCACAGGGCTCAGCTCCAGAATTCCAGTTCTGCTGCCTGTCCTGGGAAGTTCTGTTTGCTTTAGCCCAAGGAGGAGTTTAGATTATTCATTAATTTACTACTCTGATTACAGGTGAGAAAAAAACCCAGTTAATAACTGGAGCTGTAATACTCATCTACTTAACCAGGCAGATAAAGACTTCAAATACTTCAGTGTTTCAATATTTATTACTTTGGAATTTAAATATAATACTCAGAGAGTGTGAGGCACAGAGTGCCCAGAGAAGCTGGAGCTGCCTCTGGAAGTGTCCAAGGACAGGTTTGGAACACCCTGGGATAGGGGGAAGTGTCCCTGCCATGGCAGGTGGAGGGACAGAACAACCTTTAAACTCCCTTCCAACCCAAACCATTCCACAATTTTAATATAAATACACTTCAATGTATTTAAATACTTAAATATTTTAGTGTCTGACCCAGGGACACTCGGCTTCTCATTGCTGAGGAGATCCCAAGTTTTATAAACATCCAGGAATAACTTTTTCTCGCTGGCTTGTGGGGAAGGAGATTCTATATTCTATATTTCTCAGATGAGGAAAATGAAAACACTGACTCTGAACACGGGATTCCCTTTCACCTCGAGTGGGAAAATGAGCGGGATGGTCCTGAAGCCCATCCAGGGCGTGCAGGGACAGCCTGTGGGAGTGTCACTCCTTTGTGCAGAGCTTGGTGTCTCCCCTGGGATTGTTCTGGGCTCTGGTGGGATCAGTGAGGTCCATCAGGAATTGTTTTGTGCTTTCTTATCCCTACTCACCCCCCCGGGTTTTGAGTTATTTATTCCTTAAGCTCCTGGCTCAGGGGTCCCTCCCACAAACAGAACAAACACCCCTGGGGCAGCGCTGAAGGGTTTCTGTCTCCAGCACTCCTGGGGTGGCCCAGCTGGGAACCTGGGGGTGCTCCTGAAATTCACTGGCGTGACGGTGCTGGACACAGGGATGGGGATGGACACAGGGATGGTGATGATATTGATGATGGTGATGCTGATGATGGACACAAGGATGGTGGTGATGATATTGATGATGATGATGCTGATGGACACAAGGATGGTGATGATGATATTGATGATGATGATGATGATGATGGACACAGGAATGATGATGATGCTGATGGACACAAGGATGGTGATGATGATATTGATGATGATGATGATGATGATGGACACAGGAATGATGATGATGCTGATGGACACAAGGATGGTGATGATGATATTGATGATGATGATGATGATGATGGACACAGGAATGATGATGATGCTGATGGACACAAGGATGGTGATGATGATATTGATGATGATGATGATGATGATGGACACAGGAATGATGATGATGCTGATGGACACAAGGATGGTGATGATGATATTGATGATGATGATGATGATGATGGACACAGGAATGATGATGATGCTGATGGACACAAGGATGGTGATGATGATATTGATGATGATGATGATGATGATGGACACAGGAATGATGATGATGCTGATGGACACAAGGATGGTGATGATGATATTGATGATGATGATGATGATGATGGACACAGGAATGATGATGATGCTGATGGACACAAGGATGGTGATGATGATATTGATGATGATGATGATGATGATGGACACAGGAATGATGATGATGCTGATTGACACAAGGATGGTGATGATGATATGATGATGATGATGATGATGATGATGGACACAGGAATGATGATGATGCTGATGGACACAAGGATGGTGATGATGATATTGATGATGATGATGATGATGATGATGGACACAGGAATGATGATGATGCTGCCGCTGCCGCTGCCGGAGCAGGCCCGGGGGTTCCCCGCTCCCCCCGCTCCTCTCTCGGCGGCACTGATGATGATGCTGATGGACACAAGGATGATGATGATGATGATGATGCTGATGGACACAAGGATGGTGATGATGATATTGATGATGATGATGATGATGATGATGGACACAGGAATGATGATGATGCTGCCGCTGCCGCTGCCGGAGCAGGCCCGGGGGTTCCCCGCTCCCCCCGCTCCTCTCTCGGCGCCTCTCGGGCGCCCCCGTGCGGCGCTCGCGGGGCGGGCGGGGGCCGGGCCGGGCGGGGGGGCAGCGCCGGGAGCGCACCAAGATGGCGACACCCGCAGTCCCTCCCGCAGCTCCCCCCGCGCCGCAGTCCGGCAGCGCCGCGCCGGGGCCGCGCTGAGCCCGCCCGACACGGTGAGTCGCAGCCCCCGAGACCCCCGCGGGCTCCACCCGCAGCTCCCCTCGCTTGCTGTCCTGCTAGCTCCATCCCCCCCGTAGCCCTCGGCGCCGCTCCCCCGGGGGCTCTGCCGCAGAGCGCGGCCCGGACGGCCCCGGGGACGCTGGTGGGGCGGTGAGGGGGGGAGGCCCCGGGGAGCCCCCAGCCCCAAATCCGCCGCCTCAGGAGGGTCCCGGAGCCTTGCCCCCCCTTGTCAGCCGCCCCCTCGGTGGATGGCCGGTCACTCCAGGGAAGGGGAGCGGTTCTCTGGCCGCTCCGCACTGCCCGCGGGGCTCCGGCAGCCGCTGCCCGGCCCGGGGAGGGTCCGGCCCGAGGCCCCCGGCCCTGCGGGGAGTGTGGGGGGACAACGGTGCCGGGCCCGGGATCGGTGTCCCCCGGCCGGCTGGGGCCGGGGCTGGGAAGGGGCAACCGCCCTCTGCGGCCACCCTGGACCCCTTTGGGCCCCGTCCTCCCTTCTCTTCCCGCATCCCTCCCTGCATCCGTGCCTCCATCCCCTTTCCACCCCACAACCTGGGGGGCCCACGGGACCCTCCTCCCACCCCCCAAATTCGGGGCCGTGCTCTTCGCGTTGTGGGAAGGGAGAGCCCGAGTTCCCCTCGGTGTCCCTTCCCCCTCGGCTGCAGCGCTGCTCTCTCTGTCCCCCAGCCCCGCTCCCACCGCTCGGCATCCACAGCTGCCCCTGCCCGGGCGATCCTGGAGGACAGCGTGGGGTGTTTTTTGGTGAGGGGAGTCGGGCAGGGGGATGCTTGGTGTTCCAGCTGACCCAGATGTTGGGTCAGCATCATGGTTGTGGCTCTTCCTTTCCCTCTTTCCTTCCGCCACAGATTTTTTTTTTTTTTTTTTGGGGGGGTGGGGGGTGTGGATGGTGAAAGCAGATTTGGTTTATATTATTTTTTCCCCTTCCTGCTGGGAGGGAATTGCACGTTCACGAGGTTTTTCTATTAAAAAATCTGGGTGTCTTCCTCCCCTCCCCCTGCGTTCTGGTGCAAACCGATGCCCAGCTGATGTGGGGGTGGGGACACCGGGAGATGCTCCACGGCAGCGGCTGCGGATGATCCGGGGTGAAGTCGGAAAGTCTGGCAAGGGGAGCGTGTGCCGGGGGCAGCAGCTGGATGCGGACCTTGGGGCCCCGAGCTGGATTTTTGGAGGGTGATCCCAGGTGTGGGAGGCTGATTGCTGTCCCCTCCGTGCCGTGTCGCAGCGGGAGCCCCCCGAGGGGAGGGTTTGGGGGTGTGTTTGTGCTGTGTGTGGACGTGTAAGGCGGCCCTGGCACACTGCAGCATTCCACCCGCACCGGGAGCCGTGACCGGGACGTCCTCTTTCCCTTTTCACACCGGGAAGCTTTAATTGTGATCAACGGGGGTGGGGGCGCGGGGTCCCTGTCCCCCCTCCTGCCTGTGTCTTTAGAGGAGAAAAGCGTGAGCGTGGTGGTTTTCCAGGGCAGCCCTGGTTTGGAGGGATGGGGCCTGGAGATGGTCCCGTTTTCCTGTGTCGGTGATGGAGGTTCTGGGGAGCTCTGGGGTCGGTTCCTCCAGCGGGGGCAGAAGGTGTGGGTGAGGCTGAGGGGCCCATGGGACGCTCCCCGTGCCCACTGCTGTCCCCTCGGGCCC